ATTTGCCAGGGAGAGAGCCCAACAACACACTCGGGCGCAGAGCGACTGTGCCGCTCGGTCAGCCTCCCGGAGACAACTAGCCACCTGCTGGTTCGAACGCCCGGGCGACTGTGGGCAGGGCTCCGGCGGGCACGGTGTTGCCCTCAACCGAACGTGGCTTTTGCTAGGTTCCCCTGAACGGCGCTAGCTTCGGGTTACGGATGACGAGCCGATGGTCGGGTCTGCGCGTCGGTTGTGGATTCGGTGATCGGGAAAGTTCCTTTTCCGATCAGCAATAGCAGCCAAAGCGCGTCGGGATCTCGAAGGGAGATCCTGAGGCTCGCCAGAGGACAAGCGCTGCAGCCTCTCGTGGCGCAGGATGCCCTTCGACTGCAGTGAGGTTAAGCTTGACCTTTCGGTTTCTGTGAGTCCGGGGTATGAAACCGAAGTTCACTTTGATCATTTCACGTCACGTTGCAAATGGTATCAAACATCGTTTGCATGTATAGACTATAATTTGATCACGCTTGCAATGTAATTAAGAAAATCGTTAATTTCCCAGGAATTCTTAGGGCATCAGCAAGACAAATTTGAAAACAGTGTGATTTTTAATTCATTATGCATCGCAACGTTCTCATTTTAGCGCAAGTGAATCTGTTAAAACGTTGCATAGCACAGAATTTTAAATTCTTGCCTTTCAGGGGCTATGTGCCCAAGCGCTACATTTTAGCAAAAAAGCAGTGAAGTTGGCAACCTCCTGCCAGGTTAACTCCGCCCCTCAAACCCTTGGCTCCTCCCTGGCCTTTTGGGCTCCGCCCTTCGTGAAAATTATTCGGCGAGCATTCGTTATTGTCACGTTACTCTTCTTCATCTAAATAACGCAATAATATGGACCACGATCCAATGCCCTTCCCTCGGCAAAGCAAGGCAAGCGCGGCGCACGGATGCCCAAAGGCCTCGACTCGAGAGCCCTGGGCAGCGAGAGCGATACACTTATCTCTTCAAACAGAGTTCAGGTCAATGACCCCGCGGGACACTCTTACTACGGCCGAGTGATGGCTCTCGCGATTCGGAGGGGAAAAAATACCTCGCGCTGTGGCAAGAGCGGGCGATTAATGAGACAACTAGGTTAAGGACAGGAGCAAGGAGGGCCCAGGGCGCCGTGAGCACGTGGAGAGACTGCTTTTGACGGGCGCGGGCGGTGCCTCCTCACGCTGCGAGGCGGCGGGTGCCCGGGAGTGCGTGCAGCGCCGTGGATAAAGCCTTTGGCGCCGTTCCGCATCGCCGACTTGCCTCTACTTTGTCCTCAAAGAGTCTTTGTTCGAGTGAAAAGGGTGATATATTGGAAGAAGTAAGGGAAGAGAGAGTGGGAGGAGAAAGAGAGAGAGAGAATGAGAGAGTAAACAAATATAATTTTCTCGTGTCTCCTTTTTCAGATCCCTTTTGAACCCGCTTTTCATACGTTCTTCGTATCTGAATTTTAAGCTTCACATCTCCCTCCTTCAATTTACAAACGTCAAACATTTAAGTGCCGCACTTTATCACAGATATCTTGCTAATGTAAAAACTTTTTACAGAGATGGGCGTTTTTTCTCCTCTTCTCTCAGGGGGGGGGGGGGTAGGTCATTTGTGGAGGTAGAATGAGTTTCGAGACAAGTTATTTTCAAAGTTGATTAGAAATGAAATTATCTGATTCGAAATTGGAAGTCCATCTCATTTACCAGCGTGGAGGTTCCCCCCTCATGGAACTGGGCGATGGGGGGGCGGGTAACGAAAGATTAGAACGACAATACAGATAATGATGGCGATATTGATATTATAGATGACGATAGTAATAAAAAGGACATTGGTAACAGTGATGATAACAATGATAATCAAAATAGTAATGATTAACATAGAAATAGTTGTATATATACAGACATTATATATAAATGTGATATGCATTTACAAACACACACACACACACACACACACACACACACACATATATATATATATATATATATATATATATATATATATATATATATATATATATATATATATGTTTGTGTATATATATAATACGTTGCCACCCAAAATGTCTTTCCTTCACCTCTCGCTCTCTTGGCAAGGGCTGCCTCTCCCCGCCAGTTCTCTCCCGTGAAGATTTGTTGCTCCTCTATCCCGCGATCCATCTTCGTCGGGCTTAGAGAGAAATCAAGTGTGAAGATTATTATACAAAGGGACGGATCGAGAACGGGGGGGGGGGGGGCACGTCGGGCGATGGGCGCCGACGTTTCGGGCCTTCACTTGACAAGAAGGGAGGGGGGGGGCGAGAGAGAGAGAGAGGGAATTGGAATAGATTGATTTGGTTTATTGTAAATATGCCAGTACAATAAGTTTGTGTAAACAAAAGTATATTTCATAAAAGGGTACAGCGAGAGGGCATGCAGAAAGAATGGAAAATGTTTTCTATTGTTTCTGTGGAAAGGTTATCGTAAACTATAGAGCACATTTTCCCTTCCATTGTTCCCTTCTTTCCTCTTTTCAGCGGAAAAATTCTTGTTTTCACACAGAGAAAATGGAGAAAGTTATATTTTGTGCAGTTTACTCTGCCGTTGTCACCTCGCCCAGAGAACGCATTTTGTTAACAATGCATCTCATCGATCGAAACCTTCAGAGCTGACGACGTGCAGCCTCACCTGTCATGAACGGAGGGACGAAGTCATGCACGCGAAAGAAGCGACAAGACGTTATTTGCTCCACTTAAAGGTTCAAGGCTGATCACTTTGGCGCGGGCCCGAACGTGGCCTATAATGTGGCATGTAAACAGGAAACAAAGGGACCTGTTAGGGGCCTTGGAAGAAATCAGGAGTCGTGAACGGCGAGGCGCTGGTCACATGGGCGAAACATGCCATCCAAGATGTTCATTCGCTCGAATATGAACGGTACAGCCACTAAAAAAATAGTAAGTTACCCAGTGAAGCTGTACCCCGCGCTGGCCCCGCCCCTCGCATCCAATTGGCTGGGACGAGCAACACCTCCCAGAGGCCGGGCTATATATTCAGCGATGGCTGTACACTTCTCAGTATCATCAGGTTCAAGATGATGGAGTCATATGTAATAAGGTGTATAAGTGAGCTCGTCGAGAGCTTCCTGCTCCAAAACCACTGTCAGGTGCTGCTGTTCTTTACAGTCCTGCTCTCGATCAGGTATATCCTGGGAAGCCGCACCAACCTGCCACCGGGGCCGTGGGGGGTTCCGATCCTGGGCTACCTCCCCTTCCTCACGGAGGATATACACGTCTTCCTGATGAAATTGTCCAAGAAGTTCGGCTCCATCTACAGACTCAACTTCGGCAACAAGATGTTGGTGATCCTAACCGACCCGAAGGTGATTCGCGAGGCCTTCCGCAGGGAGGAGTTCTCGGCGAGGCCCTCCAACGCGCTCTATGACATCTTTGACGGATACGGTGAGTAGCCGCGGCGTACGCTGGCGCCTTGTTAGCTGTCAGATTTCGACATTAGTTTTTCTAGGCTTTGACCCTTTCATCTCCTCGGGTGAAGTTTGGGCTCGGAGGCGCAGCTCCGTTCACTTGGGTCATCTTGCTATTAAATGTCAGGAATGTGTCCTGTGGCCCGGCGAGTAAAAAGAATAAGTTCAGTTAATTGATATAGAAAGTTGCCCCGAAGCGCTGACAGTACACATGTTTTTAGGTCACGAAGCAGACCGAAGGAGTAGCCAGCACCTTTGACATTTCATCCTTGCCAGAGAGCTTTGTTATTGTCTCAGCTGCCCCAGTAGAGTAAAGTCATTCCCAAACACTTTCTTGTACCACACTCAAGCTGCTCTGGTCAGCGCGAAACAAGTAAAGGCTGGCGGGAGCGCACGGCAGTGACGCAACCGCCAACCTCCTTATCCGACGGGCCTCGAGCCTCATCTGGCTCATGACTCACTCCGGAGCCGAGTCGCAGGAGGCCAGGGCCGGCCTCATGCAGCCTCATGGCACCAAACAAATAAAATGCTGAACCTGGGCCGAGGGGCCGCCTCGGAGCCACATCAGGCGGGTTTTTTCATGAATGGAGATGAAAGTACCGAGCAGCGGCCACCGTTTCCTTCACTCAAAAGTGAGAGTGACCTTCGCTCCCGAAGCCTTTGCTCACTCGCCCGACCCGCAACTCTTTCACTCTTGCTTCTCCTCTGCTTCTCTGTTTGTAAACACTCGTTTTGAACACGCACGCTCGTAACACACACACACACACACACACACACACACACACACACACACACACACACACACACACACACACACACACACACACGCACACACACACACACCACAATATACATAAACACATATTCATACTACTCAAGAGTACACTCACGTGTACAAACGACACATGTAGACATGCAGATACATTTTCATTTACGCTTAAATAAGCACTTGCACAAATACAACACTGGCAACAACACACCCATCCACACTCACATACACACACAGAAATGTGTGTATGTGTGTGTGTCTGTGTGTGTACGTATATATGTATGTGTATGTATATATATGTATGTATGCAATTATGTATGTAAATATATGTGTACGTATACACACACACACACACACACACACACACATATATATATATATACATATATATATATATATATATATACATATGTATATATATATATATATATATATATATATATATATATATATATATATATATATATATATATATATATACATGTATGTATGTATGCATGTACATATATGTGTGTGTGTGTGTGTGTGTGTGTACGTGTGTGTTTATGCATATTTACATACACATAGATACGTATTAATCCATAGTACGTATTAATCCACATATATATATCTTTCTGTATCTCTCCATCCAGCTTGTTATCCATGTCGATATATAACAGCGGTGCAACTCAAATTAAGCTAGTAGAACTGTCCGGCTCCGCCACAGCCCTAACCCATTCTTCGATGCCCCGCAGGCCTGATCAACACCTCCGGCAACATCTGGCGCAGCCAGCGGCGGTTCCTGCACGAGAGGCTCCGCGGCTTGGGCATTTCGCTCGGCGCCGGACGCATGCGCATGGAGGAGAGAATCCGGGTAAGTCCCCTTTATACCGGCTGTTCCCCATTTGTCTGGTATGTCTTAAGTAAAGATCAAAATCAGTTTGCCTTGAGAGGATCCTTTGCACCTTCGGCTGACGGGTCTTTCCCTCCGCAGAGCGAAGTCATCAGCCTCCTGAGGTGTCTGTCGGCGGGCAAGAATAAGTTGATGTCGGTCGACTATCTCTTCGCCAACGCCTCCACCAACGTCATCTGCACGATGCTCATGTCCATCCGCTTCCGGCCCAACAACCCGAGCTTCCTCCGCTTCATGGAGCTTCACGACGAGGGCTTCAGGCTGTTCCTCAAGTGCGACATCGCCAACTACATTCCGGCGCTGAAGTACACGCCCACCATCACCAAAACTTTCCAGAAGTTGGTCCAGAGTCGGGACGAGACGTCCGAGATGATCCGCGACATCATCAAACAGCGGCGAGAGATCTTCGACCCGGAGAACATCAGGGACATCCTGGACTCGTACCTCCTGGAAGAGCACAATGCCAAGATCGAGGGGAGGGTCCTCTACGAGGGAAAGGAGTTCGGTGAGTACAAGCCCAGCAGCTTTCGGTTTCTGCGTTGAATGAGATTGCGTGGAGGGAATACACTGAGGTGAAGGCAAATGGGTGAAGTCATAACTGTTTCCTTTGGCCTTCAGATCGCCAGCTCGTGCAGGTCCTGGTCGACATGTTCAGCGCCGGCGAGGAGACCGTGAAGACGTGCCTGCTGTGGTCGCTGGTGTACCTGCTGCATAACCCCGACGTGATGCGGAAGGTCCAGGACGAGCTGGACGCCGTCGTGGGGCGCTCTCGCATGCCGTCGCTCGAGGACCAGGATCACCTGCCCTACACCAACGCCACCATCTGCGAGACCCTCCGCCGGTCCTCGGTCGTGCCCCTCGGGACGTTCCACGCGACCAGCAGGGACACCGTCCTGGAAGGTTATACCATCCCCAAGGGCGCCACCGTCATCCCGCTGCTGTACTCTTGTCACATGGACCCCACTCTGTGGGACGAGCCCGAGAAGTTCGAGCCGACTCGCTTCCTGGACGAGGAGGGGCGCATCAAGAAGCCGCTGCAGTTCATCCCCTTCGGCGTCGGGCGGCGGATGTGCCTGGGCCACGTCCTTGCTCGTTCCGAAGTATTCCTGTTCTTCACTTCGATCCTTCAGAACTTCACACTCGGGTACCCCGAGGGCGAGCCTCTCCCGAGCTTGAAGGGCGACCTCGGCGCCACGTACACGCCGAAGCCGTTCAAGGTGAGAGGCCGGGCGCTCTGCCAAGGTTTACGCTGATCATGAAAATATATCCAAAAGATTCCGCCCATTTTTCCTTGATAAGCATCTAAAGTCAACATGAACCCTGCTGAAAATATTCCATGCTCCGCAACTGATTTTCTGGAAAGCTAACTCATAAACCTTTTCTTCCTTCCAGCTCATGTTCATCCCCCGCGAAGGCTCAAAGTTCGGCGAGATCGAGAGACAGTCGAGCGAATTCAGGACGATGGGCCTGTAAGCCCTCTTCTGACGCTGCATTTCTGGTGCACTGCATTCGAGCGCATCCTGAATCGTCTTACAAAAGTTCCTGTGCAAGGACTTTAAGTCCTCTCCCGTCTAGCGCTGCCTTCCCGTTCCGTGGGTAGAGAGAACTCTTCGTCCACAGTGAAACGCGTCGGGAGTTGCAGCACAGCCGAAGGCGCTGAGAGAGGCAAGGAGGGAGGCGTGATGGGCTCAGCCCATCTCCTCCCCGGGACCAGGAAGTTCCACCAAAGACATTCGCAGGTCCTTTTGGGGTCCAGCAACTCATCTGTGATATGTTGATAGTTTAGAATTAATTGTAATGTATTTAAGCTACAGTTGGTGTTCGTGTTCTCGCTCGTACGGACTCGCTGTTTATGGAGTCTCAGGGTGTTCGATGTTCCTTTTGATGCAAGACGAGGAAACGTTCACCAACCCGCATTATAGTGTCGTAGGTTCGAGCCGCTGCCGGGCACGGGGTTTCCTTGCCGGAGCCGTGCCAGAGCCTTGCGGTTGTGTGTGAATGGGAGTATGAGACAGAGAGCCTCACGGCGACCTTAAGAGTCTCTGCGCCGGGGGCAACACCTTGCGCCTTGCCTTTTAATTACGTTCGATCTGACCGCGGGAGCCTAGTCAGCTCGCGGCCACGACGCTTCAGCCACTATGTACAAAAGGAGCACATACTGTGTAAAAACTAAGGTGTAAACGGTAAAAGAGACGACCACGTAGTTACAAAACTGTAAGTTTTGAGTATGTCTGTTCTAGGGAGAATGAAAACCAATCAATTCTATAATTTTATGAACTATCTGTTCATGCTCAATACTGTGCTCAAATAATTTATAAGTGTATAAGAATGTTGTTCCAAGACAACCGCATGAGGCAGACAATAAAATGTTGAATGAAATAAA